AGATTATCATAATGTGGGTGAGATGTTTCTGCCCAAATATACTCTCCTGCCTGTTGTGGTCTGAAGCTCCTTATTTGTACCTGCACAGCAGTAATCTGCACCAATGAAGTAGTGAAGTGTGCAAGAGCTGTTTGTGCGGGGCACCCACAGTTTGTCTGTGGGCAGAAATGCTTTCTCTGTAGGTGGAAACATGTGTTTTTTCAAGTACATGTTCTTTTGTTTCTCCTCTTCCCCCTCCCCCCAAAGTGACATCCACCTCTGCGTTTTTCCCTTAGTGTAGGATGTGTGGGACCATACTTCTTTTACAGTTCTCTTGTGTGTTGGCTTACCAAATCCTCAGCTTGTACAAACTGGCATAATTCCACTGAAACTGATAGAAGTAAGTTGACTCCAAAACCAGCAGAGAATCTGAATTGATTAGGTAGCAGATCATGATCCACATGAACTTCTGGAACAAACTACTGCAATTGTTTTGGGGATGTACAGAGATATTCCTGGAGCATCTACAAAGATTTCTTTTAAGACTTTCTGTAAGCCACAGCTGGATGCTGTCTTTATTACTGTCTCCTACAGTAATATTCTGAATGCCTCTCTAAGTTCCTTTAGTTTTGTTATCCTTGTAGCAGTTTGTGGCCTCCCTGAAGTCTGTTCACTGTCCCTGTCTGTGGGAGAACCTAATTTCATCATGATGTCTGTCAGTGTGGTAACCAGCAGCGTATTGATACTGGGTAAACTGGATGGCAGTTAAATGTCAATCTATTGTCATGAACTCTAGGCTTATTATGGCTCATTGTTTTGAGGCAAGCACAGTAATTAGCACAGGGTGTACTCTATGATAATTAGGAATGTTTTACACATCAGATGGTGATGTTGACTTTTGAGGGCAACCACCTGGACTCAACTCTTACTAGCTAAAACAAATATTTTTGTATTTCTATTTGTTTCAGTGTTTCAAAATGCCTGTGGTAAATTACTTTAACTGTTTAATCACTAAATAATAGATCCATGCAATCAATTAGCTGAATAGTATGATCACTGGGACAAGTTGCTGATACCCAGAGGTGACACTGTAGCTGAGATACGCAGTTTGTGTATTTTAATTTCTCTTGAGTGCAAGGTGAAACTTCTACTATCTTGAAAGCCAGGTGCATGTTGCTTTCCAGCTTTCTCTCCTCTTTACCTGACCTGGTATTTAAACCTTCTGAACCCTGGTATCATAGATTTGTGGTGTCTGGTCCATTTTTGACTTGTTATTCATCATAAAGATGTAGTGTGACATTCCTAGTGGAGAAAATAATGACTATTAAATCCACAAAAAAACCCATGAAACAAAACATGACCCAGAAATTTATATCATCAGGTCTCATTATAATCTCTTTGCAAACTTGTTAGATTAAAGCAGATTTGTTAAAACATCAAAAAATTTAGGGCCTTGAAAGCAGCAGTAGTTCATGAAATAAATTCAGGAAAAGATCAGAATATGTACCATGGACCTATATTCTGTCTGATAGTTAATGCAGAATTTGGGGGCTTACTTCTGATCTACTGTGAAATATGGACAGTTTCTAGTCTAACTCATGGCTTGTGTGGATTAATTTCTGTACCTGAAGCTTTCCCTAAATTTCTCGTGTTAGTTCATATCCAAACTGAGGGGAGGGTATTTTCATTTCTAGTGGCAATGAGAAGGCAGTCTCATAAGAAGATGTAAAAGCTGGGCATTTCTGTCAATTTTCATAAGAATTATATTTGAAAGCTGTGCAATTTGAAGACTTGCCCTGTTTCCTCCTCAGATCAATAATTGCTAAACTCAAACATAAACCTTCCCTTAGGTGCATTTGTCAGACATATTTGTATTCAGTGTGAGATTACTGGTTGTTATGAAGTGAAGGCTCTACCACAGCCATGGAAATACTGAGCTTGTAAATACCCTTTAGGTGCAGACAGCACAAAAAGTTATTCATTATGCTTCTGCTGCCTCTTTTACAGTTTATACTCCTAAGGTTCATTCCCACTACTATATGTTAACATGTAATTTCTGACACTAATTTTCAAAACATTAGTGATTTGGGTGGGGGGGAAGGAGGAGTTATATTTTGAAAAAAATCTCTTAAGTTCAAAAAATTGCAAGTGTTGCATTTCAAGAGGATGAAATAATCTATTTTAAACTAGGAAGGAATTTGTGGACACTGTATCTATGGAATAATGTCAGATAAATTTAAATGTGTTAACTGTGTGATGCCATTACAAATGCTTTTTTTGGCTGAAAAGGATCAGTGATTACTTATAAAATAAAGACATTAAATTATTTCAGCTAGGCCTGGCTGGGCTCTTTGGAATGTGGTCTAAGTTTCTGGCACATGAACTTAAGGAGGATGTATGGGAATTAAAAAAAAAAAGTTCAAACAAAATCATACAAAACTGAAATAAAAGAGAAGGCAAGATGTAAAAATTATTCTGCAGTGAGTGTCATCATGCAACTGCTTGGAAAAATAACTGATTACCATTGTAACTCTGGTAAGTAAAAAAGATATACATTAATAGGAAAAAAAACGTGGTTGGCAAGAAAAAGAGGTATTTACATGAGGTAAAAGTCAGGATTGCAACAGCCTTTTTTTTTTCCAGAAAGACATGGTTGGAGTCTAAAATTGTCTAGATACTGCTTCCATTTCAACTATAAATGACTTCTGTACTTAACTCTTTAACTTACTGTATCACTTCACCATCTGTAAAGCAAGAGATGTTAGTGCGGTGGTGTCAGCTGTGCCAAAAAGCAAGTCTATCATATTCATCCTGCCATGGTCCTGAATATCACAGACTATTTCTATCACAGAAACTCTTTGACTTGTAGTTTTAGAGATAAAACCTTTCTGTACTTGCTAAGGAGAAATTATAGAACTAATACAGAAGCTGTTGGTCTGGATATTTAAAATCATCTTATGCCAGAAGCCAAGGAGAAAAGAATGAACTTAGAGGTAATTAAAAAAACCAACAATTCCAAACTTCATAACAAGCCCTTAGTACCATCTCTGCTGTCCTCAAACATGGTGATCTGCACACTGGGGAACAGCAACTGATCTCACACGGATGGGAAGTGCATTCCCTCTCCTCTTCCTCCGCTGCTGTAAAAGCAGTGCTCCTATTATGTCAAGGTCCATCGCATTTACTGCAACTTTGATATGCTTGACCTAAAAATATTGCTGGGAGTGAATTATTTACAATGGCACTGAGGAGCAATTTTTTAGAATGTTTCTATGGCCAGTGGCCATTGTACTGAGTACAAATGTATGATATTAACAAAAAACATGAAAATTACTATGAAACCTTTCCACAGTATATCACACTTATCATCACCAAATTGGGATTGTTCTGTGGCTTTGCAGCATAAGGAAACATATGTGCAAGCCAGCATTTCTTGTGGGTGTGGAATAATAGTGTCATTTTCCAATAAATATTATTAAATAACTAGTCTGCAGAGGTTGATTTCAAGTTGTATGAAGTACTATATGTCTGTGCACTAAGGAGTCATTTTTCAATTTCTATATGAAAACATGGTGAAACTCAAGTCACTGGTAGATTCCCATTCTAGGCACCATTAAAAAGACAACTTCTGAAGATTCTCCTCTTCAGAAACCAGTAAAAACTTGCAGACCAGGTAGAAATATTTGTTTTATATTTGTAATGAGAGTGGTCTATCTGTGCCTAGGTCAATGCTGGCTGAGGTTCCTGCAGCCTGGCCTAGTAGGGTATGAATAGCTGTTCTTCCATTAGCAAGTGTATGGAACAAAATGATGATTGAAAGCAAGAGAGATGTGTTTTTTGAGGTAAAGTATTGCCTTAGAAAATAATGTAACTTTCTTTTTCTTGCAGTCTGTCCCTCCTCAATGTTAATCATTGAGGCATTATCAGTTAGTAGAGAAAACATATATACAGAAACCACTCATGTTCCAGGACATTCTTTCCAGTGATGAGAAATTCCAGATTCTTCTGTTTTGCTAAGTATTTTCTCTATTAAAAACACATAGCACATCTATAACTAGCATTAATAAGTGTTTTGCAAAATTAAGAACTGGTTTTTAAGTTTCAGTAAAGAACTTTGTTTTGTACCAATAACATATGAACTACAGCTTAATTTGAAATTTTCTCCTTCTAGACAGAACATATACCTCTGAGTCTTGCTTTTATATGATCTTTATCTCCCTGCAGTATTTAAATCTGTAGTAATTCAAATTCCCATTTTTGTAGAAATGGGTAAACCTAAAGATACAGGCTTATCTCTGAACAGTGTTGCTGAGAAATCATTTATCCACGGCAAATCTTCCTTTTAATACTTTACTCTTCTGTCTCTGACCATGATATTATTCAGTGAGCAACAGACCATGTGGGGGGTTCTCTAGTAAATACTGGAATGAGAAGAGATAATTTTCCCAAACACCAATTTTAAATAATGTCCAAATAATTTCAGGATTTATTTTGTTAGTGTGGTTGTTTCTTGAGGAACTGTGGGGTGAGGCATGGGGAGTGGTCTATAAATACTAGTTGCACATGTGACAGAGGACTGATCTCTTTCATGATTGAAATACATTTCTACCATTTAATTAGACTGATAACAGTTAAAGAAGTGACTATAGATGTATTGTCCCATGATAGCCTTGACACTTTTATGGTGTTCAGTTCCTATTGTGAAACATGGATAAACCAAGCAAGCTCAATACAAAAGATAACTTGTGTGACTGATGTGCTGAGGAAACTTTGTAAATAATCAGATTAAAGTACTGTTTATAAGGACTCCCATAATAAGAAGAATTATATGAGTGATACGATGATATACTGTGAGTTTTCCTGATTTTTTTAAGCAATTCCTGTTGCAGAGTACTTGAGTTGCACTGAGTCTACAGGCTGAACTTACCTTGGATGATTGTGTGAAGTGAGAAATATAGACTGGTCCTTCTGTGTGTCTGACCAGGTTAATAAAAGGTTATAAAGAAATAAGGACACAACTGTGAGCGTATTCACATTTTATTTTCTTATTGCAAAACTCAGAGCGTGACATAGGTACTCGGTTTACAATTCAACAACTTTACAATTTAACTGCTTTTCCATTATTATTTCTGGATATACATTTCTCTGTCATCTTTCAGATCCCTAAAAATAGCAAATGCAATAGTATTTGTGTTCTTAAAATCAGTTTAATGTAAAATTAATTAATATTTTTTGACATAACATTTTTATCCATAACTCTTAAATCCCATTTGTTCCCAGCTGTATATGTCATGACAAGTATAGAATAAACTTTTGAACTCTTCAACAATGCCTAGTTAAATGACAACTAAATATTCTTTCCTCTTATGTTAGAGGCCTTAGGAGTGGATATACTGAGTGTCCTATCCTGTTATTTTTTCTGCACACATACTAAATAAGAACTTTCACATTTTCAGTGGCACTGAACCCTGTGAGGACAATACCCAAGAAAAACGCAGTGGGTTTTCTTTTCCAGTCAGCTAAGTTAAACACACTCAAAACCAAACAAGCAAAAACTGGATACCCCCAACTATTTTTCTGACCAGAAAACTGTAGCTTAAAAGAAGTGTTTGCTTCTCACTATTGCCTTCAGAGCCGCTACTCCTCTCAATGGCAACTGTACAATGTGAGGCCACAGTTGCATTCATTGTTCAGTGAGCTTGTCCACATAGTTAAACCCACCGACAGCAATGAATGTTGATTGTGACCTTTTTTTAAAGCTTGGCAGGGTGAGGGAGAAACATCATATGATGGTTAGGTTGCTATCTTCGGTGTTAAGGCCTGAAAGCATGAAGTAAGGAGGAGGATGGTTAGCTGGAGGGTACAATCAACGGTCGATGGTTTTCACTTTAATTCCAAACTCACCGACAGCGTTGAATGTTCACTGAAGCAACCACTACAACAGAACTCCATTGACTTGACTGCATCCTCAAACGTCTGAAAGTAGGGGGGGGAAAAATCAAAATTCACACAGTGATTTTAATCATACAGATGATGCAACTTCAATCATTTTTCTCTTACCGACACCAACACCCTTCTCTGCCCATCATGTTTCAGTCTTTCTGCAAGGAGCTGGTAGTTTCCCAGACTTCTTTCTATGAAAAGAAAATATATTTCAGTTATTCAGGCTTTAAAAATAAAGGTTAGAGATCCAGGCATGAGTTAATGTCTGTTATTTCACAAGACTGAACTTCACAGTAAAACAAAACATGAGATTTCATAAATGAACAGAGCTGGCTAAGAGTTTTAAAAATTAGTGTTGCCAATTAGAGATTGCTTTACTGAGCAAAATTTCTTCTATTGACATGGTTCAATTGGATTAAAGCTTGTTTAGGATTGGTGAAAAATACATTTTCTTTGAAGAAGGCTTAATTTTTCAAAAAACATCTGAGACAGAAGGCCTTTATTTCCTTACAAATTTTCACACATGCAGAACCCGTTGTGATAGTTTTCAGGAGGAAAAAATGTCAGTGTATATCAAGGCTTGACCTCTATTTATTTTCTTTTTTTTTTTGTGTCAGCATGCTGTGCACATTCAGCTGATCATCGCACAGTGAAGTCCCTATTATTAAAAAATTTCCACAGTAGCGCAGCACTTTTTCCTAGTTGTCTGCGCTTTCCAACTCAATTTTCCTAATTATTAATAAAAATAAATAATAATTTTGTAAAAATTTTTTTTTTAGTTTTTGTTTTGTAGAAGAGTTTTAGAAGCTGGATATGAAGGCAAAACATGGTAATCCAGAAATTTTACCTTATTTTCATTTGTGAGCAGAATTCTTATGCAGAAGGTGTTCTTGAAGCTCAGCTTGTCACATTTCTGCTAGGTCCGCTCTTAACTGTGCTGAAATTAAGTGACTGGTTCATTGACTTATATGAATTGCTGTTTGTTTGTTTACTTTATCCTTTGGTTAAAGATGCTCAGTACTTTCTCTCTCTTATGCTTCCATCGTTATTTATAAGACTTTATAAATGTTTGGAGTTTTGTCTGTACTTGTGTTAAGGGAGCCCACACTATAGGACTGGAGTTCATCAGTGTGCTGCCCGTGCCCCTTTTGTAAACAAACGCTATGACAAGGACTTGGTCCTAACTGTTTTTTCCAAGTAGTTGCTCTGCATGTAGAGGTATTTATTACATCATTTAACTCAACTGTATTTTCCATCTATTAGAACTAAAAGAAAAAGTCATTAATATAGCCTACTGGAAAACCAGACAAGAATAGAATCAACTCATTTTCTTCTTTATGGTAGATTAGATGTGTTATGAAGGCCACTGTGATTATGAATATAGATAAATCAAATATATTTTAATTAAATGTGGCAGCACAACTTTCTTTCCCAATACAGCAGCACAGTGTATTTGCTGCCAACACTTTAGCTTTGATTATTTTTATTTCTCCATCTATTTGTACTGAAATTTCAAAGGTTTGATTCCATGGATGTTGGGAGAATACCTCTGCACACTAGCATGAGTGATGAAAGAATAAGGCTCTCCAGCTCAGTCTTATGTGTATTTTCATTTGTTTAAGGTCTGCCCTGTTATAAGCTTGTTCTCTGTATGTCGTTTCTTTCAGTACTCATTCCTATGCCCTTATTGCCTGCTTCCATCTGTCACTTCATATTTCCATATGGGGGCTTGCCTGGTTGATATCTGGCAATTGGGATGGGGTGCAGGGGAAGGAGAGGAGCTGTGTAGAGCTTGTGGCCAGGTGGATTACATTTCAGAAGGAATTACTTTCACAGGTTGTTATTAATGCTTCCCCACCCCCTATCATAGAAAACCTCAGTATTTTCTTGGTCACCTAGCCTCTGAAATGGGCTGAAACTTCTAAGTACAGAAGGTATTTCTGGGTTCTAGCCCTGATTCATGATGTGTGCAGGTTATGCAGGGTAAATATGCTTTCATCTTCCTTCATCTGGTTTTATTTTTTAAAAAATCCCTTACCAGGCTTAGCTAGCTATTACAAATGCCAGGTTTATTTTAAATTTTATTTCAGATCTGCATGCTTATGTGAACATTCAGATTGGATGTATTTTTTTACTTTATTTAAGGTTAGTAGGTCATAAATAAACCAAAGCACTTTCCTTGCTTTGAGCAATAGGGTCATGATGTACATGAAATATCGCTTTAAGAAAACTGGAACCTAATGTGAATTGACAGAGGTACATGAGGAAGTAGTTCATCGTGTCGCTACAAAGGCCATAGGGATTTGGACTGCTAGAGCTGCCTGTCTTAGGAATAGATTAGATATCTTGTCTGATGACCTGTACTTAATTTAAGTGACTGCCTTTGCAAGTCCTTCCAGAGGGCAACTGTGTGAAGTAGAGCATCTCATCTTCAGTCCTTTTCCTCCTCTTGATGGCCTGACCTAAATTGAAGATGTGGTTGTTGTGTTGCACAAATAGAAAATTAGTTCAATACCATGTGGACTGCATCTTCAGTTCTAATTAATTACCTTTTCAATTTTGACCTTGCTATGTTAAGTCAAATACCAACATTCCAACTTCATTGTATGTTAATACTGGGGAGCTGTTATACAGTGCACTCATGTTAACAACTGCCTTATGTAAAATAGACAAAAGCTCCCTCTCTCTGCTTAGAAATGGTGGCGCTGTCAAGTACTACTCCGCCCTGCTTATTGCCCCACCTTTTCCTTTCTTCTCTCTTGCTCACACAAATGCTAGATGAGATATGAAAGATGTTAGCCAGATAGAAGTCTGGCTTGCAGGCCACTTCAAACAGCTGCCTTAGAACTGTTCCCAATCTTATTGCTGGTACAGCAGGGAGATTGCTTAGGTGAACACACAGAACTCAGCCGGGGGGCTCCTGTAGCTTTAGGTACTTTTTCTAATGGTGCATTAAAATAGTCCTTTGAGTTAGTATACCGGTTAAAATACCATGTTAACAAATTTATAAGGTAGATGCTCCATGTGGTTTACAGCATCATTTTTCTTCTGCTGACATGGAATTGTTTGTTAGTGGAAGGCGGAGTTAAAACTTTCTGAAGCCAAATATTCATTTGTATCAAAGGAAGACAACAGAGCAGTATCCATACTGATACTGCAAAGTTATCTCATGGATGCAGTTGTTGGCTACTTCCACCTCCCACTTGCCCTCTCCCACAGTCTGTCAACAGACTTCCAGTTATACACTTGGGGACAGGAAGAAATGCAATGTGTGGATGTGTTTTTTTAATTGTCTTGCAAAAGTGAATTCCAGTGGCAGAGTCTAAAAATGGCAGTAGCACACTTGGGATCAGATTCACAGCTAGAGTAAACTGACACAGCTCCATTGACGTCAGTGGCATTTGCGTTTACACCAACTGATACCTGGATGCTCGTCTGGAAAAACGTGAATTAGAATGATCAGTTATTGGTTTTTATATTTTCAATTTTTTGTGTTGTGTTCATCTTTTTTATTAAACCTTTCTAAAATGACAAATTTTCATGTTGTACTGACATTTTACTTTCAATAAATCAGCAGTAATACTAAATCTCTGTAAGTATTGACACTGCTATGCTTCCACCAAAAGGAATTAAATCCAGTTGACTGTAGTTATTAGAAATTCAATTTGTTCTTAGATGACTTTGAGTTATATGCTGAAAGGAAAAAATCTGTGCACCTATCAAAAGGACAAAATGAAAAGTATTTGTTTCTTCTATGATCTTAAAAGCTGCAAGAACAGAATCAAATAACAATCACTATAATCTAAGACTCTCAGTGTACTCTACAGATACTAACTGCAGTTGTTTCTGCAGCGTGTTGGAATGTAGCAGCTCTTAATTACTGATGCAGTAAATCTAAGGCTAAAGTTTTTCAAGAAATCCAACCACACAATCACCATGTTTTCATGTTCCCTTACACCTGTGGAAACATCTCTGTTAACCTCTGCTGGGGAAAAAAAAAAAAAAAAAAAAAAGTTTGATGGAGTATTTCACCATTTACTGGAGTACAGCCACCTCTGGGAAAAAGTAGCAGCTGCACAATATCTTGAAGCACTAGTGCATGCCATCCTGAGACAGGAGAAAAAAACTGTGATTGCCTTGTTTAAATTCTGCATTCTACAAAGTTGCTTTTTTGTACAATCCTGGTTCTTGCTCATGGAATAGGAGGGCAGAAAACCAGAAAACACTTTGAAGTGAAATACTGTCCACAAAACTGGTTATAAAACTAAATCAAAACTTGTTTGACATGCATAGCCATCACATAGTGTTCTGAAGTTCACTCAGAACTTTTATCAGAGTTCTGATGGCCTAGAAACTGTGACATCTCCAAACATGTTGCTTCATATGTTTGTAGGCTTTGACTAAGTTTTTTGAGTAAGTTTGCTGCCCAAAAATTGACTGTGCTCTTGAAATTAAACCCATCAGCTAATATTACATGTTTACAACACAGGCTGTGAGGTGGGATACTGATTAGCCAAGCTAATTTAGGAACAGAACAAATGTGAGGAGCAGCAGTGATATTAGCTCAATCAAATATTTGATTGCGCTTCCAGAAATAATTTAATTGCAGAGCTCAAAACTATGCTTTGCCCATTAGAATTTTACCTGATTAGTATTTTGTTATATCTTGATACTAAAGAAACTTCCAAGCCCAAATTTAATGTGAAAGTGTACACAGTAATATTGGCTTTTTGCTTACTTTAGCAAAAGTTTAACTTGCTGTGTCTCAATCAATATAATTTGTTACTCTTATTTAACAAATCATAGTTGCACTCATATTCTAAACAGACTTTTATATCTGCCCTTTTGAGTCTGACTGCAATTTATTACTTTGTGTCGTTGGTCCTGTTTGAAATTGCAAGTACTTTTCCAGTGTATGGGATTAAGGCCCTGGCTCTATGAGATCTGCTTTTTATTTAAAGCCAAGAAATTGGTAAATAAATTTTAACACTGCCTGAAATTTCCCAGTCTTTTGGATCACAATTCTTCACTCTTTGTTACTGGAACACATTACTATTTATGGAAGATATGCACATATTTCAGTGTCCATAAATTATACGCAAACATCTGTTCTTCAGATCAGTAGATGGAGTATGGTAACTAGTTCTTACATTGATATCCGTGAAGTAACTCTCACCTA